TGGGGAAAGAATTTAAATACAGGCACGTGTTTCATTTACATTAAAATAATTCTGTATTACTTAAACCAGCCTATGTCAGGATTTAAAGTATTTTTTCATTGTGAATGAAGTTATTTTGGTTGTTAAAAGGAGCCATTGTGTTACTTTCCATCAAAAACAGTCTTTATCAACATTCATGAAACCTCCTCTCAAACCTAGCTAGATGTTTAGGGTCTGTACCACTTCACATTTTTCACACACATTTCTATGTGTGTGAAAAAGCTGACATAAAACATGATGGAGGATCTGTTCACAAACACCGAGTCACCAACACCATTTACACCCATTACCTTAGTCGAGGAAAATATTTAGAGGCCGGTATATACGGAAAGCTCATCCTGCCAAAGCTAAGAGAGAGAAAAAATATAAAAAGCTTTTTAAAATTCATTTATAAACCTAAAGTTTAATAATAAAAAAAAATAGCAGGAAAATAAAAGAACACAAACAGAAACAAAAGAAGTCACAGACATAAAGCACCGAATTACATCCAAATCACAACCTATTTACCTGATAATAGGTTCTTTAAAACAGAATTACACTCTCTCTGTGCCAGATAAATGTCTTAGTTTAACGTCAATATTAAAAATGTTTTGTGTTCTTCTCCTGCAGCTGACATTAAACATGATGGAGGATCTATTAACAGACACCGAGTCACCAACAACATTTACACACACATTACCTCAGTGCAGTTAGGGATCTTGAGGACAAACTCCAAGGGTCACTGAAAGAAGAGAGAGAAAAAAACTCTTGTTTGAATACATATTTTAAAAATGAAAAAAATTCTATAATTTAATAAAATATAAAACTGAAAATGAAAAAAGAAAAACAACAACAACAAAAACTCAGACTTAAAGGACTAGATTTCATCAGAAATTAATCCAAATGAAAGACGATTTACATGAAAACAATTCATCATCTAGAACACAATCATAATCAGATTTAATAATGACAATGACTCACTCTGTGTCAGACAAATATCAGGAAGAGAATGAAAGTTCATTATTCTGTAGTTTTTGTGTAGACTGGAACTAATAGAGAAGGATACTGGAAAATATTCTGATGCTAAGCATGGCCCAGTGTGATTTTGGATGGTGATGAAATGATGATGTCGGAGATCTCTGAGTCAAGCTATTCCTTGGATTCCACTATGAAGGAAGTTATGTTGGTTGTTAACCTCCTAGGACCTGGCGTCCACATATGTGGACATAACATTTTGGGTTATTTAGACCAAAATACTGAATTTTGCTCTACAAGGGCCTGATTTGATTAAACAAATTTCCCAGAGGAACCTACCCGAGGGATTAATAAAGTTTTATCTGATATCCACTTATGAGGACATTATACTGCCACTCATATGTGGCTCTTATTTTTCTTAAAAACAAAAATAAGGTAAAAAAATAAAATAAAATCTGGTAATTCTTTGTTTTTACATTCATCATCGGGCCCCAATGTGACCAAATATCAAAGAGATATTAAAAATGCATGCCATGGAAGACATTGGGTCTTAGGAGGTTAAAAGGAGATCACACACATATTACCTCTTTGGAGATAAATAACGTTGTGAATGTGGTGCCTGAAAGGGACAAGGGTGCCTGAAATCAAAGGTAAGAGAGAAAAAAAAACCTCTCATTTGAATGCATATTTTTGTAAAATTCATTTTAATTTATTTTATCAACTTTTCTTCTGACGATGAGCGCTCAGTGGATCTGCGCTCGACAGTGCAGCCTAGGCGGAGTA